CATGTGCACACATCAAAGTGAAGTACATGAAGTTGTTCGCGTTGTCGTGGTGCCGCCGCGCTGGTATCAGTTGGTTGATCTAGTCAGTTGTAGGTTGCGCTAAGGCTTCCGCAGGTTGTTCGACTCGTGAAGTGCCCTTCTTCCGTGGTACCTACTCGATTGTTGTTCCTCGTGGCACAACGTGGATGCTGTTCTGTCAACGATGCCACCCTTCTCTCTACACCGTGTGGTCGACGAGTGCTGTTTGTTCACACAACCATTCCCTCTCTGTGTCTCGCTACCCGTCATTCCCGTGCCTCCCCAACCTCAGTTCTGGGCGTTCTCCCTCCTGGGCATGGCCTTCATCGAGTACAACACCATCATGACCGCCTTCGACACCCCCAGCGCTGTCACCGGCGAGGGCGGCCTGAAGGAGGACTACATGCCGGGAGACCTCGGCTTCGACCCCCTCAACCTCAAGCCCGACGACGAGGCGGCTCTGGACGTGATGAAGACCAAGGAGCTGAACAACGGCCGTTTGGCCATGATCGGCATCGCCGGCATGTTGGCGCAGGAGCTGGTCAACCCGGCCGGTATCCTCGGCTAAGATATCCACTTCATGGGTTGGGGAATATTTTGGGATACATGTTGATAGTTTTTTGTTGATGTATTGGTGTGATGGATCAGGTGTGGTTTTTTGCTTTTTTCTGTGTTTTGTGCATGCTTCTGGTCCGAGAGGATGGAAGGTACTTTGGAGATGCTGTATACCTACCGTATCGTTATCGCTTTGTCTTCCGATCTTTGATGCTGATGTGATGCGGGTGTTGGTTTGTGCGTGAGACTCCACCTGTAATTTACTGTGGTAAACATACCGTCGGATTGCTGCGTGTCGACTATTCGTCTCCGATTCTTTTGATGCTCCTATGCATACCACCGATGGTGATGTCGGCAGAGGGAAGCAAGGGTTTCGCTCTGGTCACGGCCGGTGGCGAGATATTATTCTTGATGCTGTGTAGCCGAGGCCAATCCCGCTCAGGATCACGAACAATTTTGTGTGTGTTACCTTTAGACGAGCTTCGCCATTCGGCTCTTTCGTTGAAATATGTCTTCACGATCCTGGTGTGGTCTAAACTCGAAGGTCGAGCTGGCAAGCGATTATGGAGTAATTGTAGCATGGTGTATTGCGCCCCGGAATGACTGTCGCGTTTGCGAGTTGACGTGTGTGGTGAAGAGCGCATGTACAGCACGTTCGATGTATGTAGCCAAAGTTTTCGTACAGGCTCTCCTCCTCACGGTGGGATCTTTGGTTTGTTGTATCTGACACGGATGCTCTACCTTGTAGCTTGCGTGCAGAGTGTCCTGACACGGATGCTTCACCTTGTAGCTTCGGTGGCGTTCAAGGTGTGCTGCGTCGAGTTGTTGTGCGACGCGTGCGTCATTGACTCGATTTTGTTGTGTGTTTGAGGACATCAGAGAGAAGTTCCATCCAGGTCATGATCTCTATTTGGTTCTCGTTGATGTAGTGTTGTTTATCAATCAAAAATGAACGAAAACATCCTAGGTGACACCTGCTGGTGGCAGCAGTACTTGGGTGGTTGATTACGGAGGGCAGTGTACTGCCCCCCACGTGCAATTACAACAGCCTCGACACTGTGATGGGTTTAACATACGCACTAGTAAAACGATGCGCGCATGGTGACGGTCTGTGGACTCGTGACACGATGCATACATGCATCTGCCCGCACCGACGTCCACCCATCACATCGCCGCCCACTTGGTTCGGAGAACACCGGCATGGCGTACCGGCATACATCCATGATCTCCATAAACAAGCCCTTTAACGCACACCATGTGAACCCACGATTTACGTGGAGAAGGATTCAGGCTATGATGGTCATCTCCCCACTCACGCATGGACGAACCCGAACCTCTCATCACGATGAAGTACGGAAAGCGGCTCGCAAAGTTCAGCGGTGAAGCTCAAACTATAGACGCCAGCCTTCCATTACGTTGCCCGACCGGAAGCTTTACTTGGACATCAACGCTGGATGGAACCATGTTGACGACCCCTTTAGACTGTTGGTGCGATACAAAAACGAGCCAAAACGTCTGTCTTATCTTTCTCCATGTGAAATACCACTGCATCCAAACAACGTATCGTTCTCATAGATTGTGCGCCAGCACACGTACGTAAAGAAACGGTGAGCACTCATGTACTTGTAGCTAATTTTCAATGTGGTTGGTGAGGGAAAGGGAAGGGAGGCCGGAAGGTGAGTACAGTCGGGGTGATTTGTTCACGACAAATTATACGACGGCGATCGACGCGATGCTTCTTATGGCGTAGAACGTGTCGTCACGGACGGTTGGTTCTTGTCCGCTCTAATCACCCCGGCTGCCACATCTTTCGACCGCTCTCTCTCCCCCCATCCCTCAAAAGCTCCCTTCTACAGTAGTAGTAGCAATATCCCCAATGCTTGCTCGGAGTCTCTTCGGGTGTGGTGGCAGCTATTTATCTATGAGTATGCTACGAAAAATATGAACGCTCATATACATTTGATCGCTCCCGAACCATGTACTACAGCACAGCAATACATCAAGGGGAAAGATAAGAGGTGGTGAGATCTTGGGAGAGTATCCCCCGTCTATCATCATGGATGGCTTCTTAAGGGTTTGAGCGCGCAGCGTGGAAGGGGTGTGCTGGGGCTTCCGACCGTTGCCGTTCGTTGCCACCGACCCTCGCGGCCGGCTTGTTATAGCATGCTCCAGAAAACTTCAACAGTGTAAGATATACCGCTGGGGTGGTTTGATGAACGGGGCATATCCTATCTCACAACGCCTCCATTGAACACTCTTCAACAAGGCCCCTCACCAAAGCAAACACTTCCATTCAACACATGTTTTAACACTGACACCGAGGAAAGAAGACATTTCTTACTCGTACATGACGGTCCAACGTAAATATGGTCTCGGCACTTTGCCTCCGGCATGGATGCATTGATACCGAAGCCAAGCTTCCGTTCGGATGGGTAGTAACGCATTGTACGCCTGGCGCTTCTTGTTTGAACTAGGCTTTAAACAACAGCCACGGAATGAAAATGGGATGCTTGTGTCTAACTACTCAGGTCGTTTGCGGCGGTAAAGAAGTCACCCTTCGAACCTTCGCCGAGTGCTCTGAAGGTCGTTCCATACTTCGCGAGAGGTTTGCCCACCCCCGACAAAAGAAATAACGTACACGCGCTAGCCGTGCACCACGATGTACACGTTTGCGCATGAATAGACAGTAGATGGCCACCACCGGGATTCCTGCGTGTGGGTTACAAAGTGAAGACGCAGCTTCTCTCTGGATGCCGGTATGGCATACCGGTATTCCATACGCTTGATGAGTGGGGACATCACTGTCAGATGGCGGTCGGCGAGGGAACATGAACATGCATGCACATATGGCGTGATCTATGGACTGTGGCCACCAGGTACCACGGAAGACATGAAATTTTCGTCAAGTTTGTATACGATTGACAGTAACATGCTACCCTCAACCCGATTCACCGTGCACGGCGGATTCGAGACGTTGTCTCGACACTCCAAAGCACACGAAAAAAAATCTAACGATGGACCCCAAGCGTCGCACAACAACTAAGCGGGGTATACAATGAACGCCACTGCATGCAAGCTACAAATTGGGGGATCCGTGTCACGTTTCACAAACCAAAAAACAACCGCCTTACCCCCAAATCATGTACAGCAAGGGCCCCTCTTACCAACCACCAACGGTGTACCTTCATCAAATCCCGTCACTACGTCAGACTCGCACACAAACCCGAGATAGTGCCGAGTGTGACACATGCTACACCACCATAGTCTTTTCATCACTTCACATGCTCGACCTTTCGACTTCCGACAGCACATCAGGATAAACAACACATTGTAAAATACAAAAAAGTTACTTCGTGCAGGTCGTCCAGTAAAAATCTGTCAAAATTGCGCATGCGAGCCTCCGAGGAAATAATGTCGGCGAAACATCAACCCACACCAAGAACGATACAGATTTATCTGTACACACCGACATTACCTCGGCGGTAGAACAATCGCCGAACGAATCAACGACACGTTGCGTCGTTGACAAAATCGACGAGCACTCGGAGCGCTCCACGCACCACTACTGCCGGGAAAAAACAATTACAGCAGGAAACGTAAGCCTAGTCGAAACGCGAACCACACCAGCATCGTCATATTCGCGAGTCAAAGGCCGTACAACAAGGCAAACAGCACTTCCCAGCACTACCTTCCAGCCTGTCGAATCGGATGCCTTCAATAATTGGCGAAAGCACACGAACACACTTGACTCATACACCCGGACACTCCAAGCCGACACCGTCGACAAAGTCAAACATTCTAGCCGAGGATGTCGGCCGGGTTGACCAGCTCCTGCGCCAACATGCCGGCGATGCCGATCATGGCCAAACGGCCGTTGTTCAGCTCCTTGGTCTTCATCACGTCCAGAGCCGCCTCGTCGTCGGGCTTGAGGTTGAGGGGGTCGAAGCCGAGGTCTCCTGGCATGTAGTCCTCCTTCAGGCCGCCCTCGCCGGTGACAGCGCTGGGGGTGTCGAAGGCGGTCATGATGGTGTTGTACTCGATGAAGGCCATGCCCAGGAGGGAGAAGGCCCAGAACTGAGGTTGGGGAGACACGGGAATGACGAGCAGAGAGACACAAGAGAGGGGATGGTTGTGTGAACAAACAGCGCTCGTCGACCGCATGGTGTCGGGAGAAGGGTGGCATCGTTGACAGAACAGCATCCACGTGCCAGGAGGAACAACAATCGAGTAGGTAATGCGGAAGAAGAGCACTTGATGATTCCCGACAACCTGCGGAAGCCTTAGCGCAACCTACAACTGACTAGATCAACCAACTGATACCAGCGCGGCGGCACCACGACAACGCGAACAACTTCATGTACTTCACTTTGATGTGTGCACATGGTGTTATGCTGTGGTGGGATCACACCGCCGCGAAATTACGACTCGTTTTCGGTGTTAGAAGGGGAGGACAGGATATTCGTTGCTGGAATCACCGATGTGTACGGGTGTATCTTGTCGGACAACGGTAGGTCTACGGAAAAATTTCGTTTTGACCCGAGTCGCACAAAGAGCAGAACTTTTCAAATCCGACATTTCAATTGCCTCAACACATCATTTGAGAAACAAAATATGCTTACCCTAACACCCAGTCTCACCTCAGGGAATTGGGCGCTGATCTCCTGGAAGTGGTCCACGGCGGGGCCAATATAGTCGGGGCCCATGAAGAAAGGGTGGTATTGCTGGAGTGGGCAACGGCAACAGAGACGAGAGCGAGCACGACGCGATACGGTGGGACGAAATGCATGTCAAACACCAAGGATTCCACTAGGTCTTGTGTCTACCGCAATACAGCAGTAGCATCGCTCGAGAAAACACAACAACATGCCACCCTCTCTGAAGGCATGTCTCCATCGTATGCAATCATGTACGTGTTGCCTCACCTCTGCGACAATGACACCGAGAGACGCAAGCATGGCCACACGCCCGTGCTTGATCTCGGCCTCGCGCCATTTCTTGATGTCGCCGGGGGCGGCACCGTCGGATAGGCCCAGGGGGTCGAAGATCTGAGGCACGAGGGCGTTGGGACAGCGGTGATCAAAGACCGCAACGGGTGAGACGATTTGACCCAGAGGGTAAGATCTCACACAGATATGACACCGTGAAAAGTTCATCTGGCCATTACCAATCTCTCCGTCGTGGATTGGATACTCGTTATTAATAAACTTGATCGACTTCATAAGTCGCGAGGGAAAGGATTGCTGTACCCTTCTCGAGATAATAACATCTCAGGCAGGAACCGCAGGAAGGGGTCCAACCCTCCCGTCCTATGTGACCCCGGTTGGGTCGTTTAGCTGGTAGAAGTGGAGGATAGGGNTGAAGAAAGGGTGGTATTGCTGGAGTGGGCAACGGCAACAGAGACGAGAGCGAGCACGACGCGATGGGGTGGGACGAAATGCATGTCAAACACCAAGGATTCCACTAGGTCTTGTGTCTACCGCAATACAGCAGTAGCATCGCTCGAGAAAACACAACAACATGCCACCCTCTCTGAAGGCATGTCTCCATCGTATGCAATCATGTACGTGTTGCCTCACCTCTGCGACAATGACACCGAGAGACGCAAGCATGGCCACACGCCCGTGCTTGATCTCGGCCTCGCGCCATTTCTTGATGTCGCCGGGGGCGGCACCGTCGGATAGGCCCAGGGGGTCGAAGATCTGAGGCACGAGGGCGTTGGGACAGCGGTGATCAAAGACCGCAACGGGTGAGACGATTTGACCCAGAGGGTAAGATCTCACACAGATATGACACCGTGAAAAGTTCATCTGGCCATTACCAATCTCTCCGTCGTGGATTGGATACTCGTTATTAATAAACTTGATCGACTTCATAAGTCGCGAGGGAAAGGATTGCTGTACCCTTCTCGAGATAATAACATCTCAGGCAGGAACCGCAGGAAGGGGTCCAACCCTCCCGTCCTATGTGACCCCGGTTGGGTCGTTTAGCTGGTAGAAGTGGAGGATAGGGACCAGAGGGGCAGACGACAGAATCCAACGATGGGAGAAAAACGAACAAAAAAACAACCTTGGATAGAGGCACGACCAAAATGGATGGTTGGATAGGTGGATCGACGAGGAATGAGGTACGTGTTGTTGGATCCGATAATACCGGCACATGTATGCGATAATACGGTGTGTGGATTCAAGAACCACCGCACTGCTCTTTTAGAACGCCATGTATCCACAAGACATCACGTCATCATACCTGTCGATGTCAGGAATACTTACCAATACCGCTGTACCTCACGTGTTCATGTCGGAACAAGTACACATCCACAACTTAATGCCGCGTTCATAAACCTAACCCTTTGGACACAAGATACAAGTCGCGAGAGACAACGGCTCTCAGGGTATGAACAGTCTTGGGCAATGCATACAACTCTTCCCTGAGGTGCGCGTTGGCTCAGTCACGCGATCAGACACCAGGCGTTCTCACCTTTCCGTCAGAGAAGGGAGCTCCGGGCAGAGTTGCGACGTAGTCCGAACCGGCGCTCATCATGAGGCTCGAGGAAGAAGGAGTAGTAATAGCAACAGATCGCACGGCCACCGGTGCGACGAAGGCAGTCGAGGAGGCGATGAGGGTGGCTGCAGTGCCGATAAACATCTGGGAGGCGACCATCTTGCTTAGACTAGNTGGGGGACAGGCGTGGGGGTGGGTAAACATGCGGCGAGATTGTGTGTGATATGTGAGCCAGGACATATTATGACGCGCAGTGTCAGATATACTCGCAGCAGTATCTGGTCGTGAGGATCCCAGGGGATA